TTATAGAATATTACCTCTCTATGGCTCGCTGCAATCGGTAGTTGCTCAGTGGCACTCATTAACAAATATTGAGCGTAACTGTCTATCTTCTGGGATACAATAACCGTTTCTCTGTTCTAGAAAGGATAACCACCTATTTTAGAATATCTGCATGGCCAAACCCTTCTATGCGGCGATATTTTATTTTGAAATCGTACCTCAGTAGTGCCACTGCTCACTGATGTAGTCGGCTCACTGAGTGAACTGGGATGCTTTCCTTTGATCCAAATGCAGAAGGTAGATGCCAGTAGTCTGTTAGCATAGCGTTTTCTAGGACCTTCTAACTGCGCAGACCGACGAACTGTCCCCGTAATTTTGTACGTAACACTTTGATGCTGCAGAGAATGTGTGTGAGATGTGTATTACAGCCTTTTGAGTCCCGTCGTAAAATTCATATAGTAGTACGGCATCAACTCCTGTTGATCAAGTGAATGCTGATACTATAATGTGTCCCTCAGGATAACGATTCGGATTCGGCAATACTCATTCGTTTCTGAACGGCTTCATCGCACTCTTTGGACCGGACCCAAGTATAATCTTTGTGTGACAGAAGGTTCAGTGGTTCGATAATTGTATGCAGTGCTGGTAGAAAAGCTGGATAATAACTGTTCATTCCCAGAAAAGAGCGAAGCGTTGGCAAATCTTTCGGTGTTGAATTGTTTTTTATTTTCTCGGGATCAGGTCATCGTCCATCAGCGTCAAATATGAACCCCAAACACTTGACAGTCTGTATCCTGAATTGAACGTAATCCCTTATCAGCCATTTTCTGGAGCACAACTGCTATTCACTCTCTTAATCCCCTTGGAGAAGCTTTTACTATCAGCATATCCACTAAATACGTAACAATTCCTGAAACGCCAGCTAAGATAGCATCCGCAAGTTGCTGGTAAATGGCTGTGGCAGTCTTAACATCGAAAGGTAGACTGATTTATTGAAATAGTCCTCGATGAACGTTTATGGTTTAAAGTTCACGGCACTCCTCTGAAACTTCAACCTGCAAGTGTGCGTCAGCCAAATCAATTTTGGCGAAAAATGTCCACCATTTAGAGTGCTAAATAAGTCATCTGAAATGGGTAGTGGACAATGAATTTCCTTCAGGGCTCCATTTAGGACTGTCGAGAAATCGTCACAAATACTAATGGAACCATTTCCTTTATTAACAATGACGATAGGGCCTGCCCATAATGAATGGGTTAGTGGATTTGTGTCTCTGTCTTCTTCTAATTCTTTCGGCTCAGCTTCCACTAGCTGTTGTTGGACGTACGGGACGGGCCCTTTCGGCAAAAAACTGGTGCAGCGTTGGGTCGTAAACGTAAGACAGCTTTCATGGTTTTTTAGGATCCTAATTCTTGCTGGAATAAAGTTTTGAATTCTTGAAGTAAACCCGAAGAATCTGTCACCTCAACTCTGTTACATATACAGTTAAGGGGCATTTACGACAGCCTTAGGCTTTCAAACCACTCCAAACCCAACAAATCCAGGTTTGTATTATTTACAAGCATGTCCCGGTAAGCTGGATCACACGGAACCCGACGCTGCACTTCACCTACCCGGCCAAAGGAAGTTTTCTACCTCATGCACCACCTGCTACCTGATCTCTGTTCTACACAATGGAACATCCCAATTTTTGCCATTACTTCTTCTATATTATCGTTATATTGGATGCCATTTCTATTTTCAGACGTGCCGGATGTGAGTTGATTTCCATCTCGATTTATTTACGTGGAGCGGGCAGGCAACTATATTACTCATTGCTTTCAGCATTGGACGTCGACAGGATCGGCTTCTGGACTCCGGTCTGTAAATCTGCTTCACTATCCATCTTTGTGTCCAATGGCGTGACATTGTTGACACTGTTTGCGTGGGCATGACCTTACTTAGTTCCATGCCCCGCAATGCCAGCATACTGGCAAACAGTGAGAACAGACGTGAAGACTTTAGCGATCATGCTTACTCCACTATTTCAGGTTTGAAAGGAGGAAAAGGTACCTACCGACTTGGAAAACTATTATCTTGTCAAGCTACTGAAGAAGGGTAACTTAGGCCTTAGCAAAAACTGGGGCAGAATCACACTTCTGTGTACTCAAAGCGAAACATTAAGCCCCATCATCCTAGAGAGACTAAAAGATGCTCTGGATGCAAATCTCTGCTTGCAGTAGGCTGGATCTAGGGAAAGCAAATCACGTACGGATCAAACTGCAGCACTGCTCATCATCATCGAACGGACCATGGAGTGGAAGTTAAGTCTCTACTTCAATTTCATTGACTTTGAAAAGGCCTTAAATAGAGCCGATCATCGGGTAGTTTGGCAGTTGTCTCAACATTACTTAGTGCTGCAAACATTTATAAGCCTCAATGAAGAGATATATGATGATGCTTCATGGAAAGCGATTCACAACAGTGAAGCATTTTAAGTGAACTCAAGAGTAAGACAAAGCTGCCCACTATCACCGATGATATTTCTGATTGTAGTGGACCCGATCATATGATAAAACTTGAGGAGAAAGAAGATGGGCATATACTGGACTGACAAAAGGACTCTAGAAGATTTGGACCTTGAGAATGATTTATGTCTTGCATCTCTAAAAGTCACACATTTACAAATGTAAACCAACAAGTTGGCGTAAGAGGCAGCGAATACAGGACTTCAAGTGAACCTAGAGAAGACAGAAGTGATGAAGATACCTAACCAATGACAACAAGCATCAGTTGTTGCCAACGGGGAAAAAATTGAAAGAAATCACCTCCATGTAGGCAGCATCGTTTCAACTACAGCCAGACAGTACAGATGAGGATGTCAAAGCCAGTCAGAATAGGAAAAGCAATGCAGTTGTTCATCATCCTGAAACCAGTGTGAAGATCTACAGCACCCAGCGTAAGGAACAGAACCAGAATTCTCAGTATCAATGTCAAGTCATTGCTTCTATATGGTTCAGAAACTTGGAATTTGCAACAGGCAGTTGCAGAATTTGACCAGCACTTGCTCTCACTATCTCGATACTGAAGAGCAGACAGCCAGAAATAATAAGCAACAGAGAACTCTAGCACCGAACCAGCCAATAACCAATTACCCAACAAATATGCAGAAGGAAATAAAAGATGGATTAGGCGCTCACTGAGGTGACCGTTTCTAGTTTATGGGGTAATGGCTGCACGCTAATGAAGAGTTCCAAACTGAGAAGAGACAGCTGTCTAGTACACCATGGTTTTCAACGGTCCACCAACTGATATCAGTCTGTGGTGTAGCTTGAAAACACATGGAAACTGTGAGAGCAAACGGTTCGATAGATGAATACCAACTCAATGTAATTGGCTTCTTGTGGATTGTACGCAGCATTCATTATTGCAAACTTCACTTTTATTGCTTAAAAACTTAAAGGTGATTGTAATTTAATCTTATTATGTTTACTTGTGATTTTGAAATGTATAAATCAATAAAACCAATAGTCTTCTTCAGTAAATTTAAGATATAAAAACAAAATCTATCACGTGAAATCGTAATCATGCCATCTGCTGATGTTTTTGCTTAAGCATGTGACAGTGTATACAATCAGCAAATCTATATCATAAACAATGACAACAAAGAGACGTAAGCAAAACTGACTATCATGTTTTGAAGTTGTTTTAACCTGGGGATACTATATATTATATCTATGCTCTATAGAAGTGATGTTTTTGTTTAGTGTGAGAATATGAATTTGATAGAATATAGTCAAAACAACAGCAGAATATGATGTTTATGTTTACGGTTTACAGTGACAGTACGCGTCATTATTTCTGTTTATTTAATATATCAAAATGAGACATTACTGTGGCAAGAGCTTAAATGCTTGTTTCTAAAGCATATGACGTAAACAGCACTATCATAACAGCGGTTTTACCAATGTAGGCAATTTTATAAAACACATTAAGGTTTGTTTATGAACAATTCAGTTAAGTAGTATGAATTAGTGAGCCATAGAAGGCTTAATTAGACTACATCTCATATAACAGCATTTGGTACATCCATTGTATATATGGCAGTGATGTATGCTGAAATACCTAAAATAATGCATGAGAATTTATTCCTTCGTATATATCTAACACTCAACATTGTTATACATCTTTTGATTGGACACTGGTTAGTAATTAGTGTAATTTGTTTGGTCCTATCTTTGATGCAGACTGAATTCGATCAGTCAAGTTTGTAATGTGGCCACCATACTGAGTGGCTCGTCATCACCGTGCACTGTGAATTGTTGATATTAGATCGTTGGAGGCAATCAATAGGAAGCTTTGGACCTAGGTTTCGTACCAGCTGGCTCGCGAGTCCGAATAGCTCAGTGGTCACGTCTCTGACTGCACCATTGGTTGACATGGGTTGGAATCTCACAGGGGTATGCGTTGGATGAAGATACGCCTTGCTGACTAGTGAGTGCCAACTAGCAAGAAACCTAGGCCCAAGGCTTCCTGCCGATTGCCTCCAACTATCTAATATCATCAGATCAATGTGCACCTTGATGGTGAGCTACCTAGAATGGTGGCCACATTGCAAACCTGACTGAGAGAATTCAGTCTGTACCAAAGAAAGGACTAGACACGTCACACTAGTTACTAGTATCCAATCAAAATACTATTTTTATATATTTACCTTACCATTTACTTTGTTTTTATAGTCTTTAGTTATGATCCTAGTTTCAACAGTACTTTTTGTTTGTGCCTATTTTTTTGTTTACAATTTTCTAAAACGTTCATGTTTATTTCAACTGCTACACCTTTTCAATTTTATTTCTTTTTATTTCTATTTTCTACTTGTAAACCTATATTACTTCTTTGCCTTTAGATTATTTACTGAATGTCTCCCTATTTATTAATTATTTTTATCACGTGAACAATACATTATCGATTTTATTACTTTCATATATTGATTTGCTCATATACAAATATACACGTATAAGTATACTTCTATTCTTCTATTTTCTATGCTAAAATGATGGACTATGATTCTAAACAACTAATAGATGATATAATTAAAGAAGCAGGTTGGAAAACAAATTATGCCTTTCCTGTTGCATCGAAAGAGAATGCCTATCTTATAAATTTAGTAAGTTTATTCAACTCTCCACTTATTGCCTAGTTTCATTTTAACAACATATTTCTTCTGTCTTATTATATATATATATATATATATGAAATTACCACAAACAGTAGCATTATGAATATTAGTTACACTGTAAGGTTTGCATTACCGTCTTCTGTATGAAACCACCTAATTATTATATTATATTATTATTCCCTTGGGTTCCGAGTGGATCATTGGGCTTCAACAACAAACATCTCCACTTTGTTCTATTTTATGCTGTCCTATTCAGCTGGATCCAAGATTCCCCATAATCCCTCTTCTCTCCCTCTCACGATCTCCTCCATGTCACCCTTGAAGTGACGACCCACTTGTCACTTCCCATTTGGATTCCACTCGAGGGCTGGCCTGGCACGCTATATCATTTGACGACCTCCTCAACGTATGCCCTGTCTATCTCTACAATTCTCCTACACTTTTGTTGAACAATTGGTTCTTGGTTAGTTTGTTGCCAGAGTTTCTTGTAGCTAATTCTTTCTGGCCAGCTGGCCATTTGGTCTTCAGTATGGAGGCAGCGAAGGCAGCTGTTGATGTAAGTCTGCAGTTGCGTGTTGGAAATGCTTTTCGTGATGCGCAGTGCAGGTTTCTGACCCATATAGAAGAACTGACTGACTTGACTTCACATTTGTGTTGAAAATCCGAATCTTGTTCTTTATGCTGACTGAGTGCAGAAGATTTCCAAACTGATTTCAGGTTGATGAAGGCGTGTATTGACTTTCTGATTCTGCCTAGCTTTGACATCTTCATCCGTTCCGACTGGCTGTGATTGAAATGATGCTGGCTCCCTAGATAAGTGAAGCCAGGAAGTAACCTCTGTCAAATCTCTCCCGTTGATGGTGATTGGTGCTGGTTGCTGTTGCTGTTGGTTGGTTATCTTCATCACCTCTGTCTTCTCTATGTTCACCTGGAGTCCTGTTTTCGCCGGCTGCTTCTTCAGCCAGTTTGTTGCTTTTCGCCTGTTTTGTTTTAATTCATAAAAGTGTCCATCTATCTCACTTTTATAGTGAGAAGGATGGATTTTAAGTATTTTTATGTTGAAATATTGTTTTTAACGAAAACATATCAATCTCCAGCTCACAGATGACTATGGGATGGATTTCCTGAAGCTAAAGTGGAAAGTTGTGAACAGTGGGGTCCATCATGTCGAGGTGGATAATCATCTAAGGCATTGTTGAGGGCAGCACTATATCACGAAATGACAATGTTAGAATTCACAGGTCATTAGATTCTGGCCCAAGTGGCTGAATGGTTAGCATGCTTGGTCTCGTAATCTGAATGTCCAGGATTTGATCCTTGGTGAGATCGTGGGTGCGCGCTGCTAAATACTCTTGAAATAGAACGAAACAGCTGTCCAATACTCCTTGGTTCTCGATGGTCTCTCTAACTGATGTTGCTTTGTGACGAAAATCTAACAAGTGAGAATAAAAATTCATGCATAATCCCCATCTAAGCATTAATGGAAAAATAATACAAGTGGTTCAGCTAAGTGGGTCTTTTCGACGAATTCATCGTCTCTACCTCTACCATCGCATTGATATACCACCATTTGTTTTACAAAAGAGGATAATGACAAAAGTGATCAGTTGTCATAATCGTGGTCATTAATATAAAATTTTCTTCGTAGCAACATTGCCTTTTTAATAATTCTTCTGATCCAATATATATTCCGTGATTTAAAGAACAACAAGAACCCTTCAACGGTAAAGGAACCGAACAAGTTTCTACGTTTGTCTGTCTAGCTTGCTGAGGTGAATGCAAAAATTTTCTTCTGGAAGAGTTGTCTAGATAAACATGAACACCTCAAAGCAGTTTGGAAGCATCTCAGACGAAATCACTTATCCCCTAACTCACGTACACTAAAACGTCAAACACTGTGAATCACTTCCATTATGAAACAATACATAAATTACATTTACACAGTGCACAAGTTATTCTTATATCACTGTGAATCGCATCGATGTCGTCCGATCAAGACTACCTGAAGTGGAGCAGAATATTTCAAAAAACTCTCACGTTCTCTATGAGTTATCTGAAGATGAACGAACATCATTCTAGAATTAGGCCAATACAATTACAAAGAAAAGAACAGATGTCGTCATAATGAAACTAAACCAAAGCCTAAATTCTGTTACCAAAGCAATAGTTTTTCCTACATACCCAGAAAAATACGTGTTCAATTATTCTGATGTTTCACTGTCGCCAATTCAAATACAAGTCTTAGTACTTGAACCTAAGTTTTGTAATGCAACGTCAAAAGTGAGTGAGCTGAACATGAAAGTCCAATTCGAGAACGTAATTAACCAGACCAATGATCTGATCCCAATCTCATATGACAGTGCAGACCATTTCAAATCAAACATTTTGAATTAACACCTTGATTACATCAACAAAAACCCAGCTTTCGCAATATACATCGAACGCAGCTGGAGGAAAGATAATGAAAACTTAGTCATGACATAGCCAGATAAAGGTTCAGGAATTGTCCTGATGAACAAATCAGACTACCTAAGTAAACTCTTGATGATAAGGAATTTCAAAAACAGTCTCCCCAGAAGAATCCCACCGAACAGATGGAGCTTTAGCTAACAAAGATATTGCAGAAAATGAAAGACGAATTCATTATCAGTTCAAAACTATACGAACAACTTCATCCATTTGGTTCTTTAACGCCGTGCATGTACGGCTTACCTAAAGTACACAATAAGACGTCCCGCTCCTCCCAATAGTAGATATGATAGATCCTCAATATCGCTCAATCTCAAAATAGCTGGTAGAGATTCTTGGGACGGTGAAAGAAAGACTGTCACGACACAACCTCCGGGACACATTCGATTTTGTTGATTCAATTAAGGACGTCAACTTGTTTCAAGCCCTATGTTCCAGTGGGAATGTATAGGAATAATTTTTTGGAATTCAGCCCAGAATAAATAATATCTAGAAAGAACTCATTCAGACATTACAGTGATTGATGAGATTCACATCAATGCAAAGCTAAAAGCTCAAATAAATAATAACTATTGATGCTAGCTGGGAAGTTAAGTCTTTCGTACTTCAGTACTTCAGTCGGAAATGGGTGCTTAGTTTGAGTGTTATCAGGGGCATCATTGAATTATTCGTCAAAATATGACTATGATATACTAGAGTTAGTCACATGGTACTTTAGTTTTATCACTATATAACCATTTGAATGCGTACTTAGTCACAAATCCTTGTGAAAGATTATTTATCCATACTAACACAGCCAATTATGACCAGAAATAGCTACTTGCACTAATACAACACAGATAATACGAAACAGTTAAACAGGTCTAGTTAGAGAAGGGGATTTCCACCTCTGCTTTCAGGTTGTAAGTCATTGTCTCACACGTGGACAACACAACTCAATAATAGCTAGATGAGACGCAAATAAAAGTAGAGGAGAATTACTGTGTCAAATTACAGAAGAACTAATCACAATTCTTTTTATTAGTCAGTAGACAGCTGTCGACATTGTTAACAAACACTGGCAAATAGTATCTACAACGCAGTGTTTCACATGGGACTTCGGCCGTCTGATATCTTGCCAGTGAGATATTCTTGTAATAGATTATTTTATTCAGAAATGAATAAGGCGATAAACGATAATATGTTGAATGCTACGCTGCTTTCAGTTGAAGTCTAACCTGAAGAATACATCCAACACTGGTAAATTAATAGATATTTGCTGTATTCTTTAGCTTTTGAATTTAATAAATAAAGTACGGTTGATTGAAGAATTTTATCTCAACTTCGCGATAAACTTCTTTAAGTTCGAATTCATAAACACTATTTTACGTCCTACTTTAATGTCCTAATTCTTTCGTAAAGTGTCTGCTTTACCCTCCATATCACTAATTTTAGAAGACAATGTTTAGATCTCTCTGATTTCTTTGGTTTTCAATAATTTCAAAATCAGTAAACTCATTTAACAATACAGAATTTAGGATGAAAAATACTCTGGAGACATTATTGAATGATTTTATTGACTTGTAGTAAAAAGAATGGATTGAATGAGTTACAAAGTCTAAACAATGTATATATATACAATGAATGAAGTTAACAGATTATTGTTTCTAATGAGATAATTGTTGAATCTAGGTAATGCGTTAGATAAACTTACACGGAATAATAATGAATAACGTGAAAAATTATAAAACCATAATTCTGGGATTTCTCTTAGTAAGTTTCATTTTGCGCTTGTAGTTACAAATCCCTGAAGGCTATTATAAAACAGCCAACAGAAAGTGTAGAGAGATAGATTACGTCAGATAGAGTAGAGTTAAGAGGTAGAATAGTAACTGTTACGTCTTAAAGGCATAGAATAGACAACTATTGGAGGTAAAACGGTTGCGTGCTTCAGATTTATGTGCTAGTAACTTCTCAATAAAGAACAAATGCAGGTTACAAGGGCTGAGAAACCATTCGGATTAATCACTGAAATAGAACACACTTCATTTGGTTGTAAGGGATAGAGAATTTTGAGTAACAATTGTAATTACCATGATAATTAGTTGTTGAGTCTGAGTGAACTTCATATTATTACATATTGCATATTAGTACCTGTATATGCTTATTCTAAATTTTCTGGGGAGTTTTATTCCTACACCAGTCAAGTCACCATAAACTTGATTTACTGTCTCTTAGGGATTAACTTTGAAATGAATTTCCTGGAATACTAGGGAGAAGTAATAGCTGATAAGGTTCACCAAGTGGGGTTTGAAGACAAATAATCATTAACACCGTAAATAAAGGATGTCTTTATACTGCCAGCTGGCATACAGTCAGAAAAACAACGAACCGTTACCAGGAATATAATGTGTTGACTTCGTAATCTGACACAGATGAGGCCATTGTTCCGCACAGTGACAGACTGTGACTAAACAGTGGCTTGAAGCCCCCTCATTCCAACTTTTCTCTAACTTTTGCTAATTAGTGACAAACCATACCTATAAATATTAACTGTGAATAATTAAGCTCAGTTACATTTGTTGTGTAGGAGAAATGTTGAGAAGTCAGTAAAAGAAAGAAGGGGTTGGAGCATAATCATGCAATTAAGTGTGAGTTGACAATAAGCGTACCTAATTTTCAAACATTCTATCGTCTGACAGACAAATAGTGATGACGTGGAAACTAACACTGCAATTTGCTGTCCTAAGAATTTACTCTTTTTACCATTCAGTGAGGTGGCACTTCAGATTTCGATATCAGAAGTGAAAAATTCAATGAAGACATACAATAAATTCGTGCGTCTTACTATAACTGTCCTTATGCTATAAATGTAACAGTCCTTTGACTTTTTTAAAGTCTTGAGAATTCTAATCAAAGGTTCTACAATTCCTTATATTTCTTGGTCTATGGCCTACAAAAACAAATAAGTGCACATGAGGGTCATTCGAATCTAGATGGCCAAGGTAAGGACAATGTGTGAACTAGCTTCTTTTGGACACATAAATTAGGCTTCTTAATGTGGATCCCAGCGGCCTCAGCAATATTTAGTAAGCGTGAGGACACTGGGTAAGGACAGTGTGCCTATAAGTCTTTTGCGTGTTACCAGCAGCTGGTGGGCTTTGACTAGTAGTTTTTATGCCTAATGTTTTCTTGAGTAATCTTGACATGTTTAATTTTAATGGTTTCTTCATAGGCTTCTCCCTGTATACAGAAGCTTCCAATATCTTTTGGGAGTCTATGCTTTCGACTAAATCTTCCTCTCCTTAGGCTTCATTAAGCTTACTTTGGATATCCCAAAAACAAGTGTCCGTAATGTTTAATATGAAAACTATTATCATCTGGAAGTGAACAACTTTCATGCCAACGCCTAAAATACCTTTGATATCTGGATATAATTTTCTACATGTACTTTTACATGCCTAGTTTTATTTCTCTCACCCCACTTAAAACCTTTTAAATTCTACTGTTTGTTGACTGTTTTAATTTATCAATGTGATTAGTGTCTCTCAGGGTCATTTAAAGCATACATATATACGCAAGCGCTATCAGTCATTTTCTCTGTTGATACGAGACAGTAAAAGCTCTGCACGTCAACAGTCAGTCTTCTTTCTGTGTCTTCTTGCGTCGCGTTCTCGGTAGAATAGTACCGTGTTGTTGTCGTCATTGTTGCTAATAGTGGTTGGAGCAATGGGCTCGCGAATCGACTAGGTAGGAAATTCGTTAGCGCAACTACAAGTGTCTTAACGGACATATCGAAAATGGCGTCAGGTACATATCAATCTTTTACGTGTATTTAGACCATTCCATTTATCCTTCAAATGGAATTCTGACACCAAGAGGTTGGTAGGAGATAATTTTTCAAACCAATATTTGGTGGTATCCAGCAAGTTTCTGAAACTCACATCTAAGTTTATCAGGACTGCCTCAGTCTGTCTCTCTACAGTCCCATATGGAATGTTACATGTTATGCAAACTTAAATTTTCATTGATGTCTACTTATTATTCTAATTTAATTTTGCTTTCCAATTAAAAATGTCTATGCTATTTGGAACTCGAACTGCTGCACTTCGGTGCCAAGTTCTATGTTGAATCCAGCAGCAGCAGCATGGTGTTTACAAAACAATAAATCTGTCTTCAGAGTTATTTCTGTTTTTCAAACATTTTAGTTGATTGACGTTAAAATAAAATGTAAAGTTTTGGATGATGAGATTGAGCAGTATCGCTCTAAAAATGCTAAACTCAAAACACACTTATCAATGGTGAAACAAGAACAATCAATAACTGAATCACTTTTAGCACAACGTCAAAAAGAAATTGATGCAAAAAAACATGAAATTTGTTTAATGGAAAGAGAAACTGGTCAGTTAAAATTGTTTCTGTCTAATATTGCAAAGCAAAGGAAAGAGATCGCTAATAGAACTGACCACTTTGAGGTATGTGATTTCATACTGTTTAAGTAAACTGTCAAAAAATGCTTGCTTATTTACAGGATTTTATCATGAACTGGCATCGGTTAGAGAGCCATTGGAAAACCTGGGAGTACTGGACAGCTGTTTCGTCCTCGTTTGGGACTCTTCATCAGTACGCACCCAACGGGGTTTGAATCCAGACCCTTCCGGTTACAAGGCCAGTTCGTAGATCATCAAACCACTGGGAACCAATCCACTCGCCACCATATGAATTCCAACTTCTGACAATTCACCACATAGCCCAACCACTAGCAAATGCCCTGCAAACCAACACTTGAATATCAATCTGATGCTTGCTAGCGACTGGCCCTATTCAGGTAGGTACTTACCTGGGTTCTAGAGGGAAGTCGTGCCCAGAAGGGTACAGTAGGTTGGGTGTGAGGACAAATACTAACCGATGACATTGGATAGTGGTCACACTACATAGTGAATTGGCGGAAGTTGGAATTCATGGACTGGCCATTGGATTGGGTCCCACTGGTTGAATGGTTCATGAGCTCGCCTTGTAGCCAGAAGGTCCTGGGTTTGAGCTTTGTTGGTGGGTGCGTACTGAAGAGGAGTCCCAAACTAGGATGAAACAGCTGTCCAATACTTCCTGCTGGTTTTCCACTGGTTCTCTAACCGACGTCAGCTCATGATGAAATCTTTTAACTAATCAAATCCCTGCAAACCAACACTTGAATGGTTGCTTATTGTAATGCCACCTTGGGTCTGTGAAGAGAGAGAGATTACCTGGTCACTAAATTAAACCACGCAACATTACTGTGCGCTGTCTTGTTGTGAAGTTGACAAATACGCTAAGCTGGGAATTCTAAAGGATAATTACTATTGCTCCCGGAACTTCTTTGTGACGCAATCAGAGCTACAACTTCAGAAGTGACATACACACAATTTTGTCCAAAGTACTGTTAGACGATTTAGAGTCTAGTCGTAACGAAAATTCAAATCGTTCTGAATTTCTAGATGTTCGATGACTATGAAAATTAATAAGCTTAACGTCATGTTTAAAAGTAAGCTTCATCAGTTTGTCAAAATACAATAACTGTAAGCATAATTCTGGGGATAAGATAAATTCATATAGTTTTACTTTAACTATTGCAGTTATTTAGTCTGAGTTTGAGTACTGGTAAAACCAGGAACATATTAACGTGCGTAATTATAAATAAGTTCATAAAATTAACACAGTGCAGCTGCACAGACATTTGACGTCGAACTATGATTACCGTTTTAATTCCCTCAATCAAGCCACTCTGCCATTTAGAATACTATTGTGTTGCGTCCGTTTGTTCATGCATGGCCTCCAGTTATCTAAGCGTTCAGCTAGTTTTGATAACATCAAAAAATACATGGCATTTTGCACGATCAAACTGTTGTTCTTACATTATCCTGCCAACTACTTTCGGTTTGACATTAAATTAGACCAACTAGACTGGAGGATAACATAAGCGTACTACAGCCATTACAGTATCATTCTACCTCACCAAACATACTCCACTCATAGAGGTTAAGAAGTTCAGTTGAAACCTAGGGTGTGTCGACACCATGTAACGTAAATGAAGTTGGCATTAATGTCTCTTTCAGTATAAACCAATAAAAATTCAAGGGATTCACTTGGAAGCTAAAAACTGGACGGAAATCAAAATTTCATAATACTCTCCAGGATTGTTTGCACCATCTAAAGCCTACAGAAACACTGACATTGGATTTCGTCCTTTGGAATTATTGAAGATAAAACTTCAAGAAAAAAAGGTTACATTTTGATTTAGGGACGAAATACAATATGGCTGGACTAAAACTCCTTGGTTTAACTATCTAAATACACAATAGATTTCAAAATCTGCACTTTACAGTTAGCTTACTACTTACAAGATGAAAAAATGAGTAACTGAAAGAATACTATAAATAAATTCAGAAGGAATGAATTCTTACTGATCTGTCATTAGGCCACTGCAAGAACGAAAAACATAGAATGAAAACACTGTAAAGAAAGCATGCCAAAGAAAGGTAATGGAAAGTAGGATGACGAGGGGTAAAGGTGTAGTTATTCAAGGTTCATTCCAAATCACTTTCTGCCTTTAGATAAGTGTTTTGAAGTAGAAAGAAAAACAAACAAGCTATTTTGAATGTAATTCATATCTGACATTGTTTAGATCCACCACGAACAGAATATCCACTGACATCTAGAGAAATCATAGTACACTAAAAGATATTCAGCCAACACCGATGTCTCTAAATTTTCAAACTCATGTTTGACAATGGTAAATCCTTATTTTTTAGTGCTTGGAAAGAAAGAAGATATTCAGTAGGTTAAAAGCTATTAAAATGATATCTGTTAAATGTGTTCAGACTCTCTAAGCTAGCACTTCAATACGGTCTTATTTAACAAGAAACCATTTCGACTAGCTGTTGATAGTAACTGCCAATAGTAATCTAAAAACGCCTTTAATTTCATTGGGACTCTTCAATTGACTGAGATTGGTTTCCACCTAAAGATGGTGAGTAATAACCGGTGCCCATTGTTTCAACGACTGAAACACAGCAGATTAGACTCCTGGATCAAAGTAGCCAATTTCTTAAACTACTTATTATCCGTTTTTTGTTTATCTAGAACGATATTATTAGTCTTTTTTCGTATATGGGGTCATTTCCTAACTGTCTTTAAGCTAAAGACAGTTTCTATTGCAACCATCTGAGATATAAAAAGCTCACCTTGAATTTGGCACCGCTTTATACTGAGTTGTAACTCCAGTTACGGTCAGTCTGCTCACACTGACTGTGAAGTTTGATAACTACCAAAAGACTAACATACGAATATTCATAAAATTGGTCTACATTAAAGCACGACTGGCGCTTAAATAAACTCTTTTTACTGAAGAGAAACATGACAATTGTAACTTATTTGACTTCAAACAGTCAGGGTATTCAGTGATGACAGTAGTGAAGAAGGTAGGCTGAATGATATAAAACTATTAGATCGTTTTCCAAGTCTAAATATTCACTCTGAACAATCATTTTCCCAACTGGCAGTGGACTACTATCGAGTACATGTTGTTAATAGCTTCGGCAGGTTGATGAAAGCACTCATCGTTAACTCGGCCTATTGAAATAAGTTACGGATCGATTTTATACATATGTATATATATATATATATTCACTAATGCTTTTATTATTAAAGATCTATCTATCTTTATTCCTATACTATCCAAACTGCATTTATAGAATCTAATTTTTGCAAAGAATAATGAATTGAACACAATTAAGTCAAAAATGCTTGTTGATGATCAGTTAATTGAAAGTTATTTAAGTGAATGTGAAAACAATGTAAAAGTTCGTGAAAGGCTTGAATATATTCAAAAGAAAGATGACTCCAAATTAGCTGTAAGTTGAATGATATTGTTTAAAATAAAACAGTCAACAAAAGTGATTATTATTATAACCTTTTTTTCTAGAGGAACATAGGGCTTCAGCCGTGCGTCTCCACTGCGTTCGGTTCTCTGCTAGAGTCTTCACCTGGCTCCATGTCTGCCCACACGTCTTCATCTCCTCTTCACATGACCTCCTCCAAGTCACCCTCACACTGACGACCAACTCACCGCTTCCCTTTTGGGTTCCACTCAAGGGCTTGTCTAGTGATGTCACTTGATGGTTTCCTCAGAGTATGGCCAATCCATCTCCATTTCATAAAGATATGAATATTTTCATGTGGTTGTGTTCTCTGAGCTGGATGATTTAATAGTGAAGCTTTTATTGTGTTGCTTTCATTATATTGCGGCTAAAGATCCTTATTAGAATTCATCTATTCATCCATTCGCGTCGGTGGCACAGCGGTAGAATGGTCACCAGACACGCATGTGGTTCGGGGTTCTATCCCCAGCCGACACACTCCTTTATCTCACTAAGTCAGTAATAAGACTAGGAAAGAGGAAAAATTGGGCATGAGGCTAGTAATCCCATCCCGTATAAAATAAACACCGCTGCTACTGAAACTTCAAGCCTCTAGCTTAAAGCCCTATGTTCCACTGAGAACTCAAAGGAATAAAACTACGAAAAATAATTTTATTGTCCTTCTGGACAACATCTTCAGCGCCAGATTCAATATGAAAGCAACCACATGGAAGTCATCCACCTGAGCTACAAATCTTCTCTATTAAATATAAATATTTTCTATAATCATTGACTACGTAGTGGTCTTTTTGAGGAATGTCAAGATAGTTGTTTTCCCTATAGACTGTAAATAGTCGACGACAGCAAGTGACTTTATTGCATATGCCTGCTAACTGTAGCGTCATAGTCTGTTCCTATGGTGGTTTAATGACAAGTTATATTTTTATATACTTTTTAAATGAAATTTTGCATTCAAAAATTTCTTCTGACGTACATATTATCAGTGGCATTATATTCTTGAGCTGCGTTACATTTGCTGCACTTTATCAGAAAATGTCGCTTGATACTGATAACTGCGCAACGGAATAGAATAAAGTTCAAAAGCTGGACGTATATATTTTTGGATTTTCATGAAATCATTCTAGTGTATTTGGCCTTCTTGTTGAAACGCGACGATACCCATCGGATAAAACGGGTGGCGTCACTTGAAAAAAAGGGATATGCCACATAATCCCCCGATAATAGCCATTCCAGCTGTGCATTTTACATAAAACTATTGTCGGTAGTTACTGGCAACAAAATATATGACTAGCATTTTAGAACAAGTTGTGTTGGTTGAATTTTATGCTAATTTAACCATTGAAAAGTCTTGTTAGAGATCTCTAGGTAAATCGTTAATGCGCGGTGTTATCCAAGAATAGATTTGAACCATGCACAGATAAAATTTTATATTTTAAATACAACATTAAAATCTATCCGGGGTTTTATTTAGTCCAGTCTGTCAACACAGTGAAAAATAAATGAGCCAAACATCAATGGCATTTAAGCAAAAGTTTTTAATCGTTAAACTAATGAAGTGC